CAAAACCTCCAGCATGGACGTAGTTGAGAGCAGCGACTGTCACAAAGGTCACTCGCCTGATTCCGAGTCGGAGGCGGGCTCTCGATCCAAGGTGCGGGGGTGGCCGCAAGAACTGGCCAAAGAATTGCAGCGGCAACGGGAACAAAGCATTGGCAGGGGCAGGCTTGCCACCTGGAGTCAGGTGCAAAAGGGCAGCCAGGAAAGCCGCAAAGGGGGTCCTGGTGCGAAGGATTCGAAAAGCCAAAGACAAAGACCACTTCTTGAAAGAAAGTCCACCTGCAGGGGGGGTCGCAGCGGGTATAAAATCTCCGAGCGCAGACCCAGGAAGGACAGCAGGGGAGGCCGCATTGGCATCAGGATTGGCAGCCTCAACGGGAGGCGCGGCGTGCGATGAATTGCAAGATGCGGGCTGGCAGGAGCCAGGAGACAGATTGAGACCCGGCGCTTCGGCAGGGTCCGGAGAAAGCCCAGGGGGGCCCCACAAGGCAGCAAAAAGGCTCAGTGCACGAGGGGCCTCCAGAGTCAAAGGGGAGGCCTCGTTCAACACAGGAGTACATGGACCGACCAGGCAGGCCAGCTGCAGAACCAAAGGCGGGCTGCGAACTACTGGCCCTCCTGCTTGGGCGGCCTGGGAAACCGAGGCTTGCGAGGCGGCCGCTTTGGTTCCTCTTGGTCGGCAGGCTTCTTGGGCTGGGCCACACCCACGGCTTCGGAGCGGCGGGCCATTATAGCATCGGCTTCCTTCAGATAAGCTAAGGCAGTCGTGGCCCAAGGGGCCGGGCACAGAGGAGCCCAAGCTTTGAGCCGGGGGTTCTGAGCAGAAGAGCGGCTCTGAAACACTTGCCCCGGAGGGTCGGGAAAAAGGCTCAGCACATAGGCCACCTCCCACTTGCCGTGGTCCTGGGCGGCCTGCTCGACGGCCACATGCATCAAGGATAGGAGGTCGAGGGTCCCATCTACCTCCCCCGACAGGAGAAGGTCGGTGACTTGGCACAGCATATACTGGATCAGGCCCAGCTCGCGTTGGTGCTGGTAGCCCCCATACCTTTCCACATACTCCGTAAAACGGAAGGGGGCAGGGCTCGAGCGGAGTTCTGCCAAAGACCTGGGAGGGGGAGCTGTCGGGTTCATGCGCCGAGCCCCGGCCTGGGCCACAGATAACATGAAGGCCCCCGTGTAGTTGGCGAGCTCGGCCTGCAACTTCTCCCTCCGGGCCGAGCCTTTTGATGACAGGCCACTTCCTGAAGCGCCGCCTCCGAAATCGGCCGAGGCCTCGGAGGCCTGGCTGATCAAGTGGGTAACAAGCATAGTGAGAGCGTTGCTCTGCTGCGTAAGCGCAGCTGACACCTCGCCTTCGACCTGGCCCGGGGTCTCTAAGTCCATCGGAGGCCTGGCAAGGCCATCGCCCGCAGAAGGAACCTGAGAGGAGGGCCGGACAGCTGGTGCCTCACCTTGGGGGGCGGGCCGAACACATTGGCAAGGGAACTCGGCATGCCTGGGACCTCCTTTCCTTTGGGGATCTGGAAGGGCTGCTGGAGCACGGGAACGGGGGGCGGTGGCACCTGTGCACCTGCCTTCACCTGCTCTTCGAGAGCTGCTTGCCTGAAAGCCAACTGCTCCAGCTGACCTGTCACCTTCGGCATGACCTCCAGGAGGGCGGACAGCTGATTGGCAAGCTGGCCTGTGGTGACCCGCTTCGGCTTCGGAGGCTTCTGGCCAGTAGGGGCCTCCACGGGAGCGTCTCCACCGGGAGCCTCGCGAGGCTCTTTCTCCTCCTCTGCCGCCGTGTAAAAGGCAGCTCTGTCGTGAGCCGCTGCTCGGAGCCAGGACCGGGCTAAAACGAGCAAATCCTCGGCGCTCGGAAACCTGTCGGGGTGCACCGGGTCGAAAGACACCACAGATAGGCCCGCCTCGGAATCGTAGGGGACCAGGAATTTCAAGGCCTCGTCTGACAGGTCCACAAGAAGAACCGACAAGGAGTCTGAGACGGGCCTCTCGCTCCCGTCTTCGTCCTCCTCCACAGCAGCTACCTCCAGAGTGGTAGAGGGGCCATGCATACCAACCGCCTCGGGCTCTGCACCGGCTGCAAGAAGGGCGGGCGGAACACTCCCTGTAGGAAGGGCCAACAGGAAGCCACCGGGCCGGAGAAGCACGGGGACACACAACACCTGAGCCTCCTTGTCGCGAGGCAGCGCGGCGATCGGCGCCGAGGCAACATAGGGCGCGACCACCCCACTGGACGCACAAACCAGATCCGAGCGATCCATAGTCACGGCTCCGGGAACGCAAGGCCGGCCGCCCTGCAGTACACTCTAGCTTCGCCCTCAGTAGGCCAGCCGTGGCAGATGGTTTCCCCAGAGAGGCGGCCCACGTAGAGCTTGAAATCCCCAAAGTTGCGAAAGAACCTGGCAGGTTTGCCGGCAGGGCCCCGCAGGACGAGGTAACACCTATTCTTGACAGGAACCTCAGGGGTAGGCTCCACACAGTCGGCCTCACCACGTAACTTCTTGCCTGCAGAGAGTCCAACTGACCAAGCTCTCGAGGCTCGGCTTTGCCTAGCGGCTGGGGCGAGCGAGGAACAAAGGAAGAGGCACTCGGAGGGCAGGGCGGAAGGCTTAGGGTCTGTGCTGGGCTCGGGCCTAAACCGAAGAGGGGGAGGAGCACTACTATCAACCCTACGGGCAGGAGAGGGCTCAGGCTGCTCCGAAGAGCCGGCAGGCGCAGCGTCTGCGCTTTGCACAAGTTCCCAACCTTCGTGGTCGCGACCGGGGCGCCCGTGTACGGCGCGAGCCAAAGAGCCAGCAGCCAATTCCAGCTGCTCAAAAGCACACGCAAGGGCCTCCAAGTCCAAAGGAGGGTCGGACGAGGAATCACCCATGCAGGTACGCCCGGAGGCGTGGATGAGAGGCCGGTTGGCTGGAAGAGGTCGGAGGCTGAGCAAAAGCCGGGGAGGGTCGCACGAGGAGGTGGTCACGGAAGACGTACAGGACGGCCAGGGCCCCAAAACCAAAGCCAGCCGCAAAGGTCACCAAAGACAAGGTGATCGAGGAGGAACAATGGGCCGGACAACCCAGACCCCACCACCCCGAGTTAGACCCGGCAACCACTAAACCCAGAAGCTGCTGAGCCCACATCAAGCTTGAGCGCGCAATACTCAATTCTCATCCTTACTGTGCCAGGCACCGTGAGAGGCACCTCACGCATATACCTGTCCTCTGATGCATCTGGACAAAGAGACAATGAAATTCAGAGTCAGAGAGAGGAAAAAAACAAGACAACAACAAAACGAAGAAGCTACCAAACACAGCAAGCGACAGAAAGGTGTGGAGGGGGAGCCACGCATAGGCAAAATCAGTACTGCCATCCTGATTTTCATAAACCCCCTCAATCAAAAAAGAAACCGCTCGCCAAAGCTTAATTAATTATAAACCCCCCTCACGGCTACGGCAATCTGGTTGCTGTTCAAGAAGCAGTTAAGGCCATCTGCTTGCTTTGTTTAGGGGCTTTAGATGCAGTTACGGCCATCTCGTTGCTATGTTTAGAGGTGTTAAACGAAACTACTGCCATCCGGCTGCTATATTTACAGATTTTCGAGGACCACATCTGGTTGCTACGGCCATTTGCTTGCTATTTCTAGAGTTACGGCCATCTGGTTGCCATTTCAGGGGCAGACAAGGACATGCGATGCGGTTGCCATTTTCAGGTGGCTAGGTTCGGAACAGAGAAATTCCGAGAATCGCGGAGCTTCGGGTCCTCATGGAATATCCAGAAAACCCGGGTCCTTGGCAACAACAAACCTGTGTTTTCTAAACCTCGTTCCGGCAAAGGGTGGCTCTGTGTGCACAATGACCAGCTTGAGTGCTCATTAGCATTCCTTTCGGAAGGCTGAGCTTTCCGAAGCCCGTCTTTGCTGCTCGGAAAGTGAACAGCCTACTACGACGACGACGACGACGACTACTACTACTACTCCTACTACTACTCCTGCTACTACTACTACTACTACTACTACTACTACTCCCTGCCCCCGAATATTAAACGGGAGGGCCCCCCCCAATAGATGCACGGAAAGTGGTTTTATGATTCAGGGGTATTTTTATCT